GGCGGAGGCCGGAGCCTCAGAAAAGGGCACGTGACCGTCTGAGCCAACAGAGATAGCGCTTGGCAAAATACCTTTCATGGTAAAAATGCTCAGCCAGCCAGGGACAGAGGCCACCTCCTCAGTAACACCCGCATGTGAAAACCCACCGACGGGGCTCCGAGGTGGGACGCCTGCTCCGTGCAGCTTACGGGGCAGGTGGGGCAGGAGGCGGGGGAGAAGCAGAAGCCGCCCCACGCTCCCTTGGCAGGGGACACGGTCTTATCCGGGGAAGCCCTGGATCCACAGACCCCGAACCCCAAGACGTCACAATGAAAGAACGAGTTGGGGGGAGACGCAGGGCCTGAGGCCGATGGGCAGAGGCTGTCTCCACACTACAGCAACGAACAGCTGGAAGGAATGAACGAGTCTCCATACAGAAAACACAGGCAGGATGACACCGAGCCGGGAGGTGCACGACGCGCACACCGAGCCACGCGGTGCTGCAGAGGTGGGCAAGCCGGGCCAGCCTCGGGGGAGGTGCGCGTCAGGTGGACAGCATCCCGGGGCAGTCAGACTTGCTGTGATCAGACCCCCATCAAATCCTTACTGCAGTTTTTGCTCAAATGGAAATGCAGATCCTAAAACTTACATGGAATTGCCAGGGATCCAGAAAAACCGAAAGGACAAATTTGGAGAGCCAATCAAAACACTGTGGGGACCAGCAGTTGGCGTAATGGCTATGTCACTGGACTCCCATGTAGTCAGTCGACCGTGGTTCGAGTCCTGGACCCGGTGGCTTAAACTCACGCTGGGCGCGTGTGCATGCGTGCCCAAGATCCTGAGAGGAGAATGGAGGAGAAGGGATTATGGCGTGGCCATCCTCCCCCGGGTGCTTTCTCACTCTCTCTCTATCTCTCTCCTTCTGGTGAGCGCACATGCCCTGTAGCAAAAACCTCTCAAAAAAAAAAAAAAAAAAAAAATTTTGTATAAGGACAGACAAGACCCAGGAGACGGCCGGCAGGAGCGTGCCCGCCTCTGTTCTCAGGGGTTCTGACGAGGGTGCCGGAGCGTCAGGGGAGGAGTGGTCTCTTGGACAAATGGCGCTGGGACAGCTGCAGCCTGCACGCAGGAGGAGGTGCTGGACTCCCACCTCCCGTTGCAGGCAGAAACTCACTCAAAATGTAAGAGCTAAAAACACAAAGCTCTGAGGAGCAAACAGACACCTTCAGGTCCTCGTCGGGAAAGGCTTCTGAGACACTGCACCTAACACAAGAAGCAAAAGGAGAAACTGGAAATCTACATTTTATCACATTATGGGACCAGCAGGTAGCCATGGTGGTTAGGGTGCTGGACTCCCACATGGCCAACCATGGTTCGAGACTCGGACCTGGTGGCTTGTCCCTCCCTCCGTTCCTCTCTGGTCAAATTAAAATAAATAGTTAAATTTAAATTTCATCACATTTCTAACGCACTGAATGTTGCTATGGGGGTGTCAGCAGGTGGCGCAGTGGTTAAGGCGCTGGACTCCCACATGGCCGCCTGTTTTGAGTCCCAGACCTGGCAGCTGGCTTTCTCTCTTTTACTCTCTCTCCCTTTGTCTGTCTGTCTCTCTGGTCAAACTTGAAGTTAAATAATTTTTTAAAAATTAATTAAATTGCTATCAAGAAAGTGAAAAAAAAACACACACAAAATGAGAAAATAATTTGCGCATTATGGGAGCTGGCAGGGTAGGGTTAGATGGTGGTTAAGGTGCTCAACTCCCATGTGGCCAACCATGGTTCGAGTCCGGACCTGGTGGTTTGCTTGCTTTCTCACGCTCTCTCTGATCAAATTGAAGAATAATAAATTTTAAACATTGCGAATCGCACGTCTCCCGAGGCCTATCCCGCAGGCTGACCAGTCTTCTCCTGGCACCTCGGCTTCACGAGGCTGCTTTGGAGGGGTGGGACGCAGAGGGAGAGGGCTGCAGGAGCAGGCTGGCCTGGGCTCCAACTCCGCATGTGTGTGCACACGCATGAACATGTGTTGCTGAGACTGAGCTGTGGGAGGAACGACCCAACCGGACGGACGCAGGGAGTGTGCAGGCAACTGTCAGCGCTGAGGAGCTCGGCCTCACGGGTGGGCAGGGATGCAGCCAGCGCTCCGGAGGGGCCGGCTCACACCCACTTGGTCAGGGCAGACAAGGAGGTGCTCTGGGTGAGGTGGGAGCAGTGGGCACGAGGACACAGGAGCCATCACCAGCTGTGGCAGGAACGCGAATTCTGCATGGTGCCCACCGTGGAGAACCTGCAGGGAGGGGCTCGCAGGTGGTGTAAGTGGTAAGGCACTGAACTCCCACGTGGCCGACTCTGGTTTGAGTCCTAGACCCAGAGGCTTAAAACTCACCCAGGGCTTATGTGCGTACGTGCCCAAATTCCCAAGAGGAGGAAGGAGGAGAAGGGGTTGTGGGATGGCTATCCTGTTTGGGAGAGATTTCTCATTATCCCTCTCTGTGTCTCTGGCAAGCATACATATCCTATAACAGAAAGATTTCTCTTAAAAAAAAAAAAAAAAAGAGAGAGAAAGGAAAAGCCCCTGCAGAGAATCGCGCTACGCAGAGGAGTTCTGCTTGTAGGAACATGCCCATCGGGACGCTCCCCCAAAGGAGCAGGCCCTGACACGATGCCACCCAAACCCCACCAGGCTGAGCGGCCCCCAACACAGCAGGAACCCAAGGCCGGGGCTGCAGCCTCCGACCCTGCCCTTTCAAGATGCATTCGTGGGCAGGCAGAGGGCCAGCCTGGGTGGTGGCCTGATTCTACTGCGGGAGGTCCTGCAGGTGCAGGAACAGCAGTGCTGCACCCACACGGGCAGCCGCCCTCCACACGCCTCCACGCCCATGCACCTACACGGGCAGCCGCCCTCCACACGCCCAGGCCAGGCCCCACTCCCGCGGTACCTCAGTTGGACCCACCACTGGCTCACGGCCCGGGCCTGCCTTGCTACTCCTCCCAGGGGGTTCGGGGCAGGGCCAGGCGGGGGCTGGTGTGGGAGGTGTGGCTGCTGCACTTGCCTGGGTGCCCCTGGGGCTTGGGGTACCCGTGCTCCACGGCTCCTGGGCAGAGCAGAGCAGAGTGCTGGCCAGGCCCCGCCATGATCGGACACGTGCTCACCACCCCACTGCTGGTCACAGTCCCGGGGCCAGCCACGTGCCCTTGAATTCCAGGTTGCTCCTCACCATGCTGGCATCCGGAGAGGTGTCAGAAACGCTTGCCTTGCAGGGCCAAGCCCAGGACAGCCACCGCCCGCGGCTACCACCCAGCACGAGGTCCCACAGCTCAGAACACTGACTTCCCTGAGATGGAAGACCGACCCACCAGCCGGAGGGAAGGGCAGAGCGCCGCCCTCACAGGGCAGGCTCCGCTCCGGGCTTACCGTTGCTCCCTGGGCCGTGGGCCGCGGCGGGCAAGGGGGCCACATGAGCCCCGTTCTGCGTGACGGCTTTTATTGGCAGCTGGTGTTGGCCCAGAGGTGCCTGTCGTACTAGGGTGACCGTCTGCACGGGAGCCTGCGACGTCTGAGCGAGCCGGCCGCCAGCACCCAGGGCGGCGTGGCCCACAGCGGGGACAGGTTCTACTTTCACTGAAATCAAGAGAGGAGAGGTGACACCGATGAGCACGCCGGGAAGCCGGTAAGGACCTCGCCCGCGGAGCACGCCGGGTGGCCCTCAGGGGCCTGGAGCGGGAGGGCTCACCTTTCAGCTCCCGGTGCTCTCCGTTCTCTTGTGGCTCTGCCTGGGGAGGAGCCGGCACAGCCGTCTGGGTGACCAGGGCTTGTCCGGTGGCAGAGCACGTGTTCGCTGGGGCCAGCCCGGCCATGCTGGTGACCGACAGCGCCGGGACCTGGTGGACGACGTGGACTGTCTGCACCACGGGCGGCTGGGCGGTGGAGGTGGTCACTGGGGCCGTGACAGTGTAGGGGACAGGCTTCACGGCCTGCGGTAGCTGCCGCTGGACGGTGATTAAGACGGGCTGACTAGACAGAGGAGACCCTGCAGGAGAGAGCGAGGCTGAGGCCCATGGCCTGCTGCCCGCAGTCCCTCACCAGGGCGCACGGTGCGCGGGGAGCTGCACTCTGGCCCTCAGCAGCTGGAATCCAGACCCTCATGGCGCTAGAGACAATGGGGGCCCATATACACGCCCACGAGCCCAACGAGGAGGATGGAGAAGACCAACGACCGCGCCCGGTGTGGGGCTTCCTCCCTGCCTCAGACTCAGCGAGTCTGAGTCACTATGTCACTATGCTGGCCCAAGAGGGATACTGAACTCTGCTCGCTAACAGCCCAACACGCAGCTTCTGCTCCAGCGACACTTCCCCAGGTTTCTCCTTTACGAAAAAGAAACCATCAGCATAAGAGGTAGGAAGGACCCATCCCTGCAGGCCCGCAGTCGGCCGCGCTCACCCAGGACCCAACCTCCACTCCGCAGTCGGGCCGCGCTCACCCAGGACCCAACCTCCACTCCGCAGTGAGGCTGGGAAGCGGGGAGCTCCCGCCCAGAGAGGGCCACTTCTGCCCTCTGGCCCAGGCCGGGACAGCATCAGGTGCTGCAGGCAGAGCGGGGCCTTGCCGAGTGCGCCTCTGACCGCCTGCTGCGGTCACGCCTGGACACGCTTGGACATGCTTACGTGCTGTTTACAAAGATGCCCAGGGCACCCAGTCACTGAGCGGACATGCCTTCACTGCCCACCAGTTTTCAGGGAGTAGGAGGAAATCTTTTTCATGAATTTTTTTTCAGTGATAAAACAACTAAACAAGAAACTAGTTCACTATAAATTCTTCCCAGCACCCACACGCATGTGCCATTAGTGAAGGTCACTGATTAGCTTTCTCCAGAGCCATGCGGATCGTGTTGGCCGAGCCCGAGGCCCAAAGACTCTCCTGGGAGCCGGCGTCGCCTCTGCTGAGTGGTGCCCACTGCTGGCTGCCACCACCCCTCCCGGAGCCTGCCTCACCTGGTGCGCTCTGGGCGAACCGGGCCTCCTGGATGACGGCGAGTCGGGGCTGCGAGGTGCCGGGTTCAGGCTCCAGGGGGGCCGGCGAACCTTCCCGTGACAGGCTCTCCGGGGTCTGGGCGCCACTGGAGTGCGCAGACAGCACTCCAGCGTGATTGGGAGAGGCCGGGGCACTCCTGTGGCAGCAGAGAGAAGACAGCAGACGGGGCTGCTCCACAAGTGCACTCTGCTGCCCGTCCAGTCTCCAGCCCTCGCCCGAGACGCGCCTGCCTGCGTGGGGCAGTGTGTGCCCAGGGCATTGCGGCCCACGCCCAGCACAGCCTCGGCCTAAGCTGGGCCGCAGCAGGAGGCGTGGACAGGGTGTGTCCGTTCGTTTTTTGGCTAAAAGTATGGTATTAATGGAGCTAAGAATGCGTAACTTTAAAGCCAGGCAAATTTAGCGTAAAAGCCAGCTTTGTGTTTAAACAGCTTAAAAGACGGTTTTAAACACCTTCTCACACCAACGGCTAGGGGGGCCGCCAGTGTGGCCTCAGAAGCGGCCACTGGAGTGGGAGGTGAAATCGCATTCGCCACACGCGATGAGGTCAACGAGGCAGCCGCCACGCAGCGTCTGTACTTGGAGACACGGGGCAGGCGCCTCACCCCCCAGCACACCAGGACGCGCCCGGCAGCCTGCACTTCCAGAAGGGGGCTGCAACACGTCGGAGGCAAGGCTACAGCCAGAGCGCGGGCCTACCTGGAAGACAGCGGTCCCAGAGGGGTTCGGAAGCAAGGCACGCCCCGCGGCCGCCGTTTCCTGAAGGCCTGCTCGAGGAGCTTGCTCTCGGAGGCGGGGTCTATCCTCCAGAACGAGCCTTTGCCCGGCTCCTCCTGCGAACGCGGCACTTTGATGAAGTAACGGTTCAGAGAGAGATTGTGGCGGATTGAATTCTATGGAACATAAAAAACACGTACAATTCATACATTTCTTTGCTGACCAATGAAACTGCACCCTAGGCTCGGTGTCCCGGAAACCCGAGCCCGGCGCCCCGAGTGGCAGAGCGGAGCCTGCAGCCCCCGCGCAGGCTCCAGGGAAGGGAGCCGCTCTGAAGGGCAACCCCCCCGGCTGCAGGTGGTGAGGGCCATGCCCGCCGCTGTCTAAGGAGGGAGGACGTAGCATGGTGACTAGTGGCAGGAGGGGCGCTGGGGGCTGGGGGCGTTTCCATCAGGGAAGAGGCCCGTCTTTCTTCAAGGCAGCACTTGGCTCCCAGCACCAAGGCTTCCGGTAGCCAGAGATGCCCTGGAGAGCAGCCACCACCGCCCCCGCGAATGCCGCTGCCAGAGGACTCGCTCCCAGACCTGCCTGCGTTTACGGAGCCACCAGAACGAGCTGCGGCTTGGCCGACCGCGACTGCCGTGCGAGGAGGCCATGTGCTCTACTGCTCCCGCAGGGGCGCCCCGGGCATGGACGGCAGAGGTCTCGGCTCCTGGCCGTCACTTTCGCCATGAGCAGCCCTGCCCAGAGGGTGGCCGACCACAGCAGAGCGTGGCTGTATGACGCTGGCGGCCGCGTGGTTAGACCCCAGGTTTGCATCCTGGTCTCTGAACACACAGGCACGTGGTGACCCACCCGGGCGGGCTGCGGAGGCCCTCGTCCAGGGTGCCTGTGTGCGTCTCCTCGGGAGATAAATGTAAAAGAGTGAGACTTGGAGAAAAGGACACGAGGCGTACGAGTGGACGCTGCCACGGGCGGGCCGCAGAGCTGGGGCCACGGGGCCGACCACAGCGGGCAGCCACCGCCGGCCGACCAGTGCACCCGGGAGCACACTGCCCCAGCCAGCTGGAGGGCTGGCAGGAGGGACCCCACATGGCCAGAGGCGGCCAAGGGTACCTCTTTCCCACAGGCACCAAGAATGCGCCTGAGAACCTAAAAGGCCCTGCTGTGTCCCAGGTGTCCTGGGGCCGTCCAAAAGGGTCTGGGATGCTGGGGTTTAACTGGGAGCGACTCAGCACGGAACAGGGCTGCTCGAGGTCGCCACGCTGTCCTCTCACAGAACTGCCAACCACAGCCTGAAACGGCATTTTCAAAAGCACGGAAGAAATCAAACAAGCCAAACGAGGGCTCCCAGCTCGCCTTGGTGACCCGCTCCGCTGTGCGCCCCGTGCTCTGGCACCGGCCGTGGACGGTCTGGGACTCGGGGACTTGCTCCTACATGGTCAGAGCACCCAGTAACCACAGGGCGTGCATGAGGCGCTGTCTCCGGGTGGCCGGCCATCAGCCTTCCCATGAGTCCTCCCAAAAACCGAACCTCAGAGCCGGCACAGAAGGGGCCCCTGGCCAGCCCTGCAGTCCAGGGGTGCAGCTGCACAGAGCACTCCCCGAGGAAGGGCGGCCGTCTGGCTGGTGTCTCACAGCACCCCGGCCAGCCCTGGGAGCCACCCAGCAGGGACGGCGCTGACATCTGACAGGCAGCGGGCGAGGGTCGATCGCCACGCCGGGGAGTGGGTGTCTGGAAGAGGGAAGGCTTCAAGGAGGGCAGGGAGCAGGAGGCGCCATCTCGGGAAACGAGGCTCCGTGTCCCTGTGGCCACCGCCGTCACTGGCGGACTGTAAACAGAGCTTAGCCCGAGGAGCAGCTCCTCTCCATTCTGCAAGTGGACCAGGACCCCGTGAGTGCCAGGCCCTCGTCTCGTCCACGCTATCCACCCCAGAACTACCACCTCACGGGCAGGGCGGCACGTCTCTGAACGGTCTAGGAAACAAGGAGGAAGCCGTGAGACAACGAATGTGGGCATAAAGACGATCAAGCAGCCATGTCTCTGAGGGGGCCGTGTCTCTGAACGGACCGTGTCTCTGAGCAGGCCGTGCCTCTGAGCGGGCCGCGTCTCCGAGTGGACTGTGTCTCTGAGCGGGCCGTGTCTCCGAGTGGACTGTGTCTCTGAGCGGGCCGTGTCTCTGAGTGGACCGTGTCCCCGAGGGGACTGGAGTGGGCCGTGTCTCCGAGTGGACTGTGTCTCTGAGCGGGCCGTGTCTCCGAGTGGGCCGTGTCTCCGAGTGGACTGTGTCTCTGAGCGGGCCGTGTCTCCGAGTGGGCCGTGTCTCCGAGTGGACTGTGTCTCTGAGCGGGCCGTGTCTCCGAGTGGACCGTGTCTCCGAGTGGACTGTGTCTCTGAGCGGGCCGTGTCTTTGAGTGGGCCGTGTTTCTGAGCGGGTCGTGTCTCTGAGCGGGCCATGTCTCTGAGTGGACTGTCTCTCTGAGCGGGCCGTCTCTGAGCAGGCCGTGTCTCCGAGCGAACTCAGAGCGGTGGATGAGGCCCACACCCAACTTTCCCAGGAAGTGGAGCCCTGGGCCGTGCGAGGGCACCCGGGGTGCGCGGCCCTTGTCCCACCGCAGGGAGTGCGAACGCCACTCCGCAGACGGGGCTGCAGCACCACACGCTCTGCGGAGGCAGGCACCAACAGCGCTGCGGTCCCGGACGCTAACTCGGAAGGAAGGGGCCGTGACGCAGCAAGTCCTCTCCCCGCCCTCCCAGCCGGCTGCTGCCCTGCCCGGCCTGCGCCCCCAGGCCCTCCAGGTGCCGCCCTTAGTGCAGGCCTCTGCTTCCCAAGAACAGCCTCCGTCCTCCCACTCTCTAGCCCAGTCACTGAGCTCTCCACAGCCAGAGGGCCACGGAGACGTAAGGGAGGGGGACAGGGCAGCCCCTCCGGGGCGGGGGGTGCAGCATGGCTGACAGCTGGCTCTGGGCCCCAAAGCCTCTCCAGTCACGACACTGGGTTGGCCACACTGGGACATCCGAAGAGGCTACTCCGGTACCAGATGTGACCGGAGGAGGAGGGGCATCGTCTCCAACAGGCTGGCTGCTCTCCGCCGCGTATCTTCCGTCGGCCCACCAAGAACCCAGCCGCAGGGCCGGCATCAAACACCCAGACCTCTGTGGGCACTACGCAGGTGTGGCAGGGCTCCGCCGTCGCACGGAGACGTGCCCTGCTGCCGTCTCCCCACAGCCACTGGGGAGAGGAGGTGGCTGGCAGGAAAGGCAGGCAATGGGAGGGAAAGTAAGAAATCGCCCTGGGGGATGGCACGCCGCAATCCCCTCTCCTCCATTCTCCTCAGGGTCCTGGGCACACACGCACACACCTGGCATGAGTCTTAAGCCACTGGGTCTGGGACTCGAACCATGGTCAGCCATGTGGGAATCCAGCGACGTAACTGCTACACCACCTGCTGGTCCCAGGCATGCCTTCTAAGTGCACTGGAACACGAATAGCTTCTATTTTTCTCTCCAAAGAAGCTGGGTGTGGCTCTTCTGAGAAACAAGGCTGCATTCTCCCCTGCCACGCCACGTCCTGTGCAGAATCGGGTGGTTCGAGACCAGGCTCCACCGTAACCACTGCCGTGGCGAGGAAGGTGTGATGGACGACAGCCTCGCGGCGGAGCTCACAGGCCACCGAGCCTTGGGCGAGTGCGAGCCCCCCGACGAGCTGTGTCCGCTGAGAGGAGCCTGCGCACACCAGCTGGTGGAGGCTCTCCGCGCCAAACACCGCATGATCGGTGGCGGCATCGAGGGCAGCGGCCGGCCCCTGTAGAGCCGACGGAGTGTGCAGCGGGGATGGACGGGGGAGTCGCAGGCCAAGAGTGTCACCAAGAGCACTTCAAATGCAAGAAATGGAAAAATAATAAAAAGTGGCGCGTAACCCTCCAAAAAATAAAAAGAAAAATGAAAACAAGGCTGCAAAACACAGACTTTTTTCCCTAAAGATTTTATTTAACTTTATTTATTTATTTAGCTTAATTTGACCAGAGAGGGAAAGACTGGGAGTGAGAGCAGAAGAGAGAGGGGAAGTGAGAAGGCAAGTGCCAGGTCCAGGACTCGAACTGCGGTCGGCATGTGGGAGTCCAGCGCCTCGACCACCATACCACGTGCTGGGCCCAGGAAGACTTTTTAAGTCAGGAAGGAGGAAGTGAGGCTAAGGTCTACACTGTGGAGATCTTCAGGAAGGGCAGCTCAGAGAGCACGCCTCGGCCATGTCCCCATAGCTGGGGCCAGGGAGAAAGGAAGGGCCTGTGTCCAGGATGGAGGGCGTGGCGGGAGGGGACGGCCCAGGAGTAGCCCTCACTGGCAGTGGTGCTCCAGCAGGTGGCATGTGGCTAAGGCACTGGACCCTCACGTGGCCAACCACAGTCGAGTCCTGGACCTGACAGCTAGCTTTCTCACTTCCTTCTCTCTCTGGTCAAGTTAAGAAATAATAATTAAAAACTCGGGACCAGCAGTTGGCATAATGGTATGTCGCTGGACTCCCATGTAGTCAAACACAGTTTGAGTCCCGGACCCAGTGGCTTAAACTCACAATGGGTCTGTGTGCGTGCGTGCCCAAGATCCCGAGAGGAGAATGGAGAAGGGATTGTGGCGTGGCCATCCCCCCTGGGGAGTGATTTCTTGCTTTCTGTCTCTCTGTCTCTGTCTTTCTGGTGAGTATACGTGCTCTATAGCAAAAACCTGTCCCCCCCAAAAAAATAATAAAAAATAAAATTAAACTAAAATTCTCTGAAAAAAATTTCAAATGATAAACAATAAAATTAAATTTTAAAATTCCTCAAAAACAGTGTTGGTGCCAGCAGGTGGTGTGTGGGTAAGGCAGCTGCACCTCACATGGCTGACTGTGGTTTGAGTCCTGCATCTGGAGGCTGGAAAACTCACGCTGGCACTAGTGCATGTGTGCTCAAACTCTGAGAGAAGGGAGGAGAAGGGACTGCAGCGTGGCCATTCCCTGGGGTGAGCTCTCTGGTGACTGCGTGCACCCTATGGCAAAAATCTAAAACAAAAACAAAACACCAACCCGGTGTCCAGGCTGGCCCAGAGGCTGGGAGCAGGGTCCACACGGCCGGCTGTGACCGTGTGGTTCGCGGCCTGGCCCCAGCCTGAGAGCCATGCTGGGTGTGTCTGTGCAGCCTAATTCCAACAGGTCAGTGCTCCCCCTGCTGAGTGTGCACGCCCTGGCCACAGACCATGAAACTGAGACCCGGTGTGGCAAGGGGCGTGGCCTGGAGGCTCCATTCGCAGGTCTCCGCCCAGACGGGCCATGGGGCCCTGCTGGCAGGGCTCAGTGCACACACGAGGGTGACCATGGCACGGGCCCTCCTGAATCCCAAGTCGGGCTCTAAGAGGCCGGGCAGTGTCACCCTGCCCGCTTGCAAGTAAATGCTGGAGAAACACGGAAACACGATCGTGCGTGAGACAGGCCCAAGCCAGCCACGCTCCAGGAGGCCCCGGCCTGTGCAGCCCAGACTCCTGGACCCCGAGACCGCCACAGTAAGTGGGGCTCAGTCAGAGCTGGTGCCGCTGCACGGAGCGTGGCCCCCCGATGTGGGCAGGCTCTGCTGCCCTCGCTGTGCTGAAACTGCACTGCCCCACCCTAAGGCTCCACTGCAGCCCAACGGCTGGACTCGGCCACGCTAGAGGCCTCGACACGCAGCTCCTACAGAGCTAGTCTCCAAGTCCAGCCTCCCTGTCCAACACGGCTGCTCACGCTAAACAGGGGCGGGCAAGGCATGGGCGGCAGAGGGAGGGGCGGGCTGGGCACCTGTGCACCTGCCAC